ACGCTCACGTTCCGGGCTTAGCAATGTTTGTAGAGAAACTAACTGAGTAAATGTCATCGATTCATTTATGGAGAAGAAAATAACAGTAATTTAGAAAATTGAACTACGAAGGGCTTTTGAATATAACAAAAGTGTACTATATAATGCAATTCAATTAAAACAGGAGTATATTAAGTCAACCTGTAAATTGTTTTGGTAAGTGATATCGAGAAGAGTATTAGGTTGAAATTAGACGAAAAGAGTATAGGTAAATTAGAAGTACTTTGTATAGCCATGAACCCAGTAACAGAGGAAAAGAAACATTCCTACTGGAGATATTGAGTGTATTATAAATCTTTATCTTATTGATCTTGAGCAGTTGAGTATGTTGAACTCAACAGATGACCTTTTCCAATGAGACATAGGTCCATATCAAAACTACGGAAATATAAAAACAAGTAACTTTATCTTTACTTTAAAAGAATCCAGTGTTAAAATTCAGATTTATCTGCAACTGGCCTTTAACAATAATAGCTACTGTTATCATGGTGCGCGTGAGTTTGACGTGCGTGATCATACTCGATCATTCTTCTTTACACAAACAAAAGATTAACTCAGCTCCGAGGCGATGCTGTGGGACTAGGTTTATGAAGATAACTTAAACTATTCTTTAAGAGACTTGATAACAAATTGTAATAATTAAAGTTTGACTAGTTGGCGCCAATAGAGGATAAAGTATTGTTAATATTTTCGTTGTCAGCTGTTTTTGGATAAGCACTTGCTTGCCCCATACTTAATACAAAATAGAAATTCTTGTTTGTGATAGTGATTTTATGCAACTTGAAGAACTTACGCAACTATTGGATGAAAATGAACTGACTGTGGCAGCTGCAAAAATATACTCCAAGAACTCTGAATACTTAAGCAGATAAATACAATCAAGATACGGGACAGCCAACATCCACACTCAAATAGAGTAGCGTAGGCTTAAATGGAATTGATAATATAATAGTCCCCTCGTACAAGACCAGTAGATATTATGCAAAATTCAATGGCAGACAGTTTCTCCAAGACTTATTGTCTGGCGTATTACGATACATACTATGAAAGACAACTGATCAAAAGGTTTAAGACCTTAACTTGTTCAAAATAGGGTTTAAAACGGCTTCTCGTTTATAGCAGTTTGTTTAGGCTTGAAATTGAATGGTACATTCGCCTACGTTCGAGCTCATTTTGAAAATCTCTTGTGTCCATGTTTTTTTCGTCAACGTTAGGGAGACGGGAGACATGTACACGTCCATTTTCATTTTAATCTTTAGCTTCAAAGTCCTAAGGACGATTCTCTCTTGCTTTTTCAACTGCTGTTAGGACGTTATCGATGTAAAAGGTTTTAAGTGAGTACAAAGGTTTGTATTTATTAAAAAAAAAATGAAAAACTAGTTTTGCGTCGCGAATCGATGAGTGACAAGTTTGGTATGCTACGGTTATCAGACATAGTTCACTAGATAACAGGTAGGTAAGTACATAGACGAATAGGTTTTGTTTGTAAAAAGTATTTAGGTAACGCAAAATAAGTTATGTAATATACCTATATTTGTTATTTAATTTCGAAGTTGTATAAAGATTAAATAGTATTTTAACGTTACGGGGTGTTATGTAGTCTTGATTAGTAAGGGAATTATGATTATTATTTTAAATTCGAAATATTCGAGTATTGATATGGAATTGCAAATTTTAATCCTCAATCTTTAACCACATTTTCGTATACCTACAATAGGTAATATCTGACAATTTACATGCATAGAGTTTTTAATTTCTTTTAAGAATGATGTTGAATATTGTAAGACGCATTTAATAATGCCATTATCAACGAGATTAGATAATCTTTCAAATGATACAGGAAAGCGAATTGAGTCATACACTTTCATACATATCCTGCCAGTTAAGTTTATGTTTACATCGACGCCATATTTGGCTGCAAAAGCTCATATCTGTTTAATATTTACACAAGGATTCTAATTTTAAATTAATCATATATCGCTTCGGCGGGGCACGCATCTGACCGGAAGTGGCGTATGCGCAGCTGAGGGACCATTTCCGCCGTCCATTACTGTCGCACTAGGTAAGACTATTAAATGAAGCGGCACGAGCATTGTTTCGACCTCTTCCTTTGGTAATATACAATACAATACTTTAATGGGGTCATTGAACAGAGATTTAGTACTTATGGACTGTAATTATATTCAAAAGTTGGCCAGAGAAAATATGTAAAGGCACTTCGATTGTTGATTTAGCTGAAGTCGATGTCCTGTTCGGTTTAAGATGGATATCGTTATAAGATGAAGATCGTGTTTAAAATTAAGCACCTAGAGAACTTTAAATTTTATTAAGTAATATACAGATAGATTTTATGGATTTACACAGAATTTTTTTCAGGGGGCAAAATCATCCAAAGACTTATTAGTAAGGATGATTATAACGACTTTCCATGATTTTTGTAATTGCTATAATTACTATAGCCATAATATGCTGTGAATAACATTAAGAAGTAGCAAACGAAGAGATTATTTCTTTCTTCTTCCGTTCCGTAAAAAATGTAAACAAATCGTGATGTCATGTGGCCAGCTTGAAATATTGCAAGTGAATATAATTTTAAATTTGGAATTGGCTGCAAGCCAGCATGACCTTGCAACGATGGGAATAGATTATGACTAAAAACAAAATTGCGTGCAAAAAGTGACGCCATTTTTATTTAAAAAATAATTTCCTTGGAATAATATTAAAAGAAAGTTTCAAAAAGCCTGATATTATTAGATTTTTTGCCTGCTCAAATACCAATCTAGTGGGTGATGTGTTTTTCTTATTTTCTATGTTTTCATTTTTCATCGTGCCTCAAAGAAATTAAAATACAGATTAAAAAATAATGTAGGTATCAATGTTTATTGAAGGGACCGATTAATAAATTGATGGTTATTATAATGTGACAACATTGCACTCATACTTATTTCTTTTTCTAAAATAATTTATTTTATTTCATCAAATAGTTGTGTTAATTTTTCCCTCATAATGGTCATAATGTTTAATATTTATGTACTTAAATTATTATGAACCTACATTGTTATGATATTTTGTTATGATTTCCCTAAAGTTATACGAACCATCTTTGATTAGGTATTAGTCAGTCAGCATGTCCTATTGTTATGTGAACATAATAAATCAATTATTAATGTTATTTGCGTAGACTATTATCGAATAATGCGTCACATTTTAAACGAAATATTGTTTCCCATAATATAATTTAATTGGACTTGGTTATTTACTCTAATTTTGTACCAACTAATAAATAGGTACTTTCTATACGTAAATATATATTTTATTAATATAATTACAATTTTCTTCTTTCTTAGATTGAAGTGTATTTAATAATAGCCGTGAATTATCCGAATATGTTATAAAAAAAAATTAACAAGTACCAATTACAGAAGTATTGCAGAGTGCTAATAAACAAATAACACCTAATACATTCTGCATCCTTCCATTATAGCAATCGTGCAGTGTAAAACGCAAAAAACACAAATTCAAATTGATTTTCACTTCATTTTCATAAAAATGCGTCACGTTACTTTATAAAAAAGTAATCTAATTATTAAATTCAATGAATCCTTGTCACTTTGTCAGAAAGGAAGTTGTAATAAGTATAAATAAGTTGTAATAAGTCTATAACATACTTATTCACAAAGCTATGACACGTTTGATGACATAGCCGATTAGTTTCCCATTACACGTTATAGTTTTCCGAGAAAATTGTCTCCGTAATATTGTCGCATGAATGGACACGCGTGATTCATTTGTTTGTTTGTATTTCATTTAATAGTAAAGTGTCTTTATATGGGTAGCGATAATTAGTACCTATGACGTATTTATGACACCTTTTTTTTTGAGGGGGGGAAAATCATCCAATGACTTCTCCCGCCCGGGTGAGGCGGGAGGGAGTGTCAGACTCTTACTGACTAAAAACCACCCCGTTCCTACTCCTGCACTTCGAGCCGGAGTCCCGGCAACCCGTTAAGTCTTCTGCGGCTCCGTATCGGCATCAGCCCTGTTAGGCCCCATCTGTGGTGGTCTGATGGCTCTTTGAGGCGCGCGCGGAACGTATTTATGACACCCAGCGGTAGTGTTTATGGGACTAATTTTTATTGGACTAACTTATCTGGACTTATGTCTATGCCATATGACATAAGCAAAGTCTAGTCACAATACCTAAGGTATGACAGGAAGTCTAAGAAAGTCTTTATCCCCTTTGTGGGTCGTGGAGAGACAGGGACTCTAACTTTAGTTGGGAAAACGCGAGAAATTGAAAATAGAATAGGTTTAAGCGTCTCTGTAAGATACTTATTTAAGTGTGTCTCTGTGTGTCATGTCGTTGCACAGATGTTAATAAATAGTGACAAAGATTGTGAGTAATTTTCCAACTAAAATGTTTATTAGAGTCAGAGGGCTTTTCATGACTTTTCCATCTTCGTAACATCTCGTCATATTTTTACATTAGGTGGGTATTACCCAATACCCACCTAATGTAAAAATATGACAAACACATGATGAAAACAAATATCGACCACCCGGTCGACATTTGTTTACCTACATCAATCTTCTTGATAAAATTTTTAGTTATCTTTGTATAAAACTGTCTGTCTTTACACTATACTGAAAGAATATTGGTTTCCGTGTAGGCAAGTGGTTTAAATCCGAAAGTTGACAAGTAGGAAGGTACTTGCCTAGTCTGTTTATCAAAGATTACAGTGATAACGACATGTTTTGAGAATAAGATCAAAGTATCTCTAGTAGATACAAATAACGATAATAAATGATTCATAAAAGATGAACAGCGAACATAAAATATAGGGTCAACCCTTTGGAAGTTAATTGCTGTTAACGATCATTGCAATTAGCAGTAGGGCGTAATAAATAATCTTTATGTACTCAAGAGTAAGGATCAATTTCAAATAAATAAAAACACTAACCTTATAGTTGAGGCCTTGGACATCTTCCTCCAACGATACGTCGGAGTACATGTCGTCAGCTGGTTCCCCGCCTGAACCGCAGCCCGACGAGTTGAATGACGACGACCGGTATAATTGGCTGAAACAATGACACTCCTCATTATTAATTTATCAGACTAGCATCAGTTACTCAAATTGTACTCATTGAATTAAGTACTTAAATTGCAATAAGTTTGAAAACTTTTAATAGTACTGGTAACGACATCTAGTGCGGTATTGGAAATACTCACATCGCCATCTGTGTTTGTTACACGCAACTACAAATGCTATGTGAGTGTTTGGTAGTGCTGTATGAGCATGGTAGATGGCGCCATAGTCAGGTGATTTTTTGTATTCCACTAGATGGCGTTAGTAGGATCTCAAACAGAATTTGTGTTATTTTATATGAAAAATTTAATTTAAAAACGGTATAAGACAAAATTATATTAACATACCTAGCTAAGACATTGGAGCCGATTTGTCGCTTCCCAGAGCTGAAACAAATGAACATTAATATTAGTAAAAAAAACTTTAACTACTTATAGCAGTTTTTCTTTGGGATTTTCTTAGAAGAGCAAAAAAAATTAATGCCGCTGTAAACCTGTTATTAAAGTATGAAAAAATGTGTTTTAATTGCTTTTGTTGCGAACATAGCTGATTATGGGCGTTAAAGTACTTAATTAACTTAATTAAATTGTTATCTTATATCTTTTTTCTCATTAGTAGTTACTATACGAACGTAGGTATTCTAAGTACCTACTTATTAGTGTCACTACTTTGATACTAAGACATTTATTATTAAAACATATAGGTACCAAGCCTCTTGAAACATTCATCTCTTGTATTAAAGGATGTTATTATTAATAATCGACCCTAGTTTGTAACACACCCATATTTTAAAGCAAACGGATGTGTCGCCATGATTGAAATAACGGTCACAACTGTCAATTCAGTTCTATCGTTCCTAATTTAAAATTTTTAACCTGTATAACTTATACTTATTTAATTTATTAAGTAGCGAGTTAGTAAGTCATATTGTAAGTATAAGTAATCACAGTAAAAGTATGTATGCAGTTCCATATCGTGGCACGAGGCTTGCATAGTGAGCGTGGCTACATGATACATGGTAACAGAAGAACGAATAATTAGTTAATTAAGTTGGTTAGACGCATGTCCGCTATGTTAAAACGGTTACATATTACCGTTTGCATTGGACTATGGATGAATTTATGAATTTGGGTTATCAAATGTAGTTAAAAGGTATAAGAAAGTGGAAATCCCTAATCCTATAACTGTCAAACACCGCGAGGACACCGGTGACCGCAACCTATTGTTCTTTAATTATGTCTAAAATGATGGTACTCAAAGGGTTAACGGCGAGGAACACACTGACCATGAAACATCCAAAAGAAAAGCGAAAAGCTTTCACGATAAAAATCTAACAGTAGCTTCACTACATTTCTAGCTTCTAGCACTAAAAATGGATTAGTTGATCTCTTCTCTTAAAACCTCTAAAGATACAGAGTTAGCGATACCATGAAAGTGAATATGGACAATATTGATATTCCAGAAGTAACGAATTTACTGAATAAAGAAGAAACAACCACCTGCGTGGCTCGGCATCGACATCGTGACAATAGCTGATAAATGCTAACGCTTTAACGAACAATTAAGTGGAGTGGACGCATGTCCGGAATTCTTACCGCGGTAGAAAGAAGGAAATAGTTTAAAATGTATGTGGGTAATGCTCACCAAGCAATTAGTTCACAATGATTACCACGACGTGTGCCTCTCTGCCACTATTACGTGAGCACCATTGTGAGATTTTTTGTTGATTACGTTTTGATGAAAAATGACTAATGTATTTAATTGTGTGGTAGTGAGATAGTAATCTGTAATATTAGGTATATGTTTTACGTTGCCCTGCAAATATGCGAGTAATTAAGTATATAGATCTTCGTTTTATTTAAACTCTTCTTCTTCATTTAGACTATTGGATCATTTTTCGTCAGTCTTAACTCTTTTGCTTTAGTGGTTCGCAGGGATATGAATTTTCGGATGTTTAACTTTAGAGACAGTGCTACTAGCCATTGAGATCTGTAGCAAACTGGTCAGAGTACTTAGGCCGTCTTTCTTTGATTCTAGATTTCTATTCAAGGTTTGAGGACTATCAAACTTTCCAGCATCCTACGCTGGCTATCTATGCTTTTGCTTCAATAAAAATATGTCCTGTTATTACTTTAGTCATTTAATTTTCTGCAATTCAACATATTTATTTAATAGGCACTCTTGATTGGATCACTGTGGTTTATAAAAACTGCTCTGAATATTTCATCTATTGTTAACTTGTATGTCATTACTACTAGTTTTTGCATTGAATATGTGCGAGGTCAAATAAAATTATGATTTGCCTTATTATATTTTAAGGTTAGGTTTTTAGACTGCTTCTTTGGTCTTGTGGGCGTAAGTGCGACTAGAAGCCTAGAAGGTCGGTGCGCGGTTCTAAGTGCAACCAAGGTGATTTTTTATTTTGTAAGCATAGCAAATATTCTTAATGGTTCCATGATCCATGAGACACATGGATAATAATTTAATCTTACAGCAATGTAGCAACAAGCTCGTCTTTTAAGAGGCCATATCTATATAATCTACCAATCCGAAGCATTATTAATCGCAAGTTAACATGACTGACAATTTACATTGAACGTCTTAATCAAACCTTTTTATTAACGGTTTTAACTTGAGCTGACGTATTTCCGTTTCCTCTAAAGACACGTGCTGTTAGCACATAACGTTAATAATTTAATTACTCGGTTAGTTAATAGCTTTAGTTTTGCAGTTAAAATAATAGTTTTGAATGGTATATTGACCTTCTGTAACGCAGTTTGCATCATGTAGGTCACGCGTCGGCTCTAGTGCAAGCCAGTAGCAATTTTGGACAGTATTGTTTTGTAATGATAAGTATGATAGTCAATAATTATGAAAATTAGATTGCAACTAATGTTTTTGTTAATGGAGCAATGAAAGAATAAATTTTCCAGCATTGTCCACTAATTACATTCCAGTATCTACAAGGTGTGTGTTCTAAAGATTTATAGTAAACGGAAGACCAACCGAAACTTTGTACGAATTACATATTATGCACCGGGGAAAGCGTAGTTGTAAACTAATAAGCTAATTACCTACTTACTTAACAACATAACATACATCATGCTTTGTTTCCAAAGGGTAAGCAAATGTGTTAATTCTAAGCAATAAACCCTTTTATCTACCGAAACAGATAAAGCACTAGTTAATAAAAATTTTGTGTTATTTCTGAACTATATCGTATTCAAGTAACAAACACAACTAATTTTAAGAAGTCCGGAAAGATACCAAAGAAGAAAAAGGAATGTGTGACAGGATGATGATAGGGGGGGATAACTTAGGATAAAAACTGTAAGAAGAAGATATATCATGAATTTCTGAGCATAATCTTTTTTTTATAATTGATTGGCTGACAGGTGGCCACTATCTCGCCTAGTCGTAAGCGATGATGCGGTCTACGATGGAGCACGTCGTCCCATAAGCAAGCTATTCACTCGGGCCTTGAAGACACCCAGGTTATATAACCTTAGATATTATATCCGCAATATTTAAGTGCTTTAATACAATATAATCTAAATCTAACTTTCTAGGCATTAGGGGAGCATCAAGTAACATGCACCAGCTCACGATTACCATGGTTTGTCAAGTGTATCATAATGCAAGCGGCCAGGACGTCCGTGGGGAGTGCTGGAGAAATCAGTAGACAAATGAGACACGGGTGCGCGTACGCCGTGAAATTGTGTAAGAAAGTGACGACCGGCGTACCAACATACGGACTACTGTCCGTAATGATCTACAATTGGATACTGATATAGAAATATGTCCGTGTTGCTGAATTGATATTACTTCTAATAAAAAAGTATATAGAAAATGGACAGGAATGGATTTTTTTTTGAGGGGGAGGTAAGATCATCACCGGCACAAGGTGAGGAAAGAGGGAATGTCATGATATTATTACCGTGGTAAGACTCTTACTGACTAAAAACTACCCCGTTCCAACTCTTGCTTCAAGCTGTAGCATCATCCGCAAGAAGGACTAGTGGCGAAAATAATCAATTCTCTTTTATTCCAGGATGCAAAAGAGTTCTAACTTCTATTGTCATGCAACAATCAAAGTTTTGGACCCCGAATATACAATTTCGAAACAGTGATGGAGATGAGACCAATTAAAATTAACGACAGGAGGCAATTAGCAATTTGTTATACCTTTTTAGACATTTTTGGCCACCGTTCGACGTAAAGACATTTGAATTTGGTTATTGCATGTTTGTGACGAATTGACAGCAACGTCACGGCAAATTAAACAAAATGGCGCGTCTTAGGTACACACGGCCGCACATCAATCTATACAAAACCAGTTTATCCTGGTATCGCGTCGCATCATCTTTCCGTACATTCAACGTTCAGTTTATACTGGTTATGTAAAGCTCGATGTGTAGCCGTGTGTACTAGGTATAATCCTAGGACGCCTGTACACCTAAGTAATCGTATAATTGTTGTAAAGGTTGTATAACCACTGAACATAATGAATTGAACACGCACTATTCATGTTTTCTTTAATTATCTTTTATTATGTAACAGTTAATTTTCGTGATTTAACGTAAATATGCGCCATATGTGTGTGTTTGTTAGTGCAATAAGTACGTGTGTATAACAAGTATAACATTGGTTCCTGTTTCCTAAACCTGAATAAGTGATTGGCGCCGTTTTGTTAACTGTCAAAATATGATTGGCTATTAATGAAGCTATGTTTTGTTTGCCGTGCGACTGTGTCTTTTTCATTAAATACTCGACAGATTTTGACACAGTATTCAAGTGATTCATGCAAGCTTCGTGATTTAATTTAAGTTTAGTATTATTTGACAACCTTGTGAAACGAATTGGTAGATTCTAGATTATGCATACATAAAGTTAAAAAGAAATTGATTTTATACAAAATCTGTTTCATTTTGTAATATGTTTTCATCTAGTTCTATACTTTTGGCTTCTAGTCACTAACGCAACTGTCCGTTGATGACGAGATCGTAAAACCTAATATGTAAAACAATATTGGATGTAACGATTACAAAATTTCAGTTGGGTGCCTATTTTAGTCCTACACGTCCTCACAACATAGTAAGGAATGCCATACTTATCGGAGCCTGACTTATCATCATCAGCCATAAGAATATAGGCCTCCCCCATGATTTTCCCCAGGAAGCCTAACTATAAATAGTAAAATAAGCTGTTGTACACCTATTTGTAATTTTTTGTATATGTATTAAGTACTGTATTAGGTATAGTATGTTTATCTCTTGGTCGAAACATTCCATATAGTATGTAGATGCAGGTGCACTATGTTTTAAACGAATAAAAGCACGTCTCTGCATCACATAACAGACAACAGTTCTTTTTCTCAGCACCTAGC